CACTGGCCAGCTACAGATCTTTCCCCAAGTCCCCTTCCAACAGTGCTCTGGGGTAGGGAGGTAGAAACAGCATATAAGCCTCTGTCCCTTTTGTGAGCTGTTTCTGCCTGAGCAACAGCATCAGACAGGTACTACTGGACTGGCTTGGCTTCCTAGTCAGTCTCCTGCTAGTCTGTCTTCTTGGAAAGGATTGGGTACAGCTTACTAATTACCCTTGCCTACAAGCCCTCTACTTATCCTTATCCTATCCATTTCTTTCAACTTATTCTTCCCCCAAAAAACCTCTTATTTGTTCTTGTTATTTTTTCCCCCACACACTTTAAAAGAAAGCTGCGTTTTCCTTGGCAGTGCAATCCATCACTGTGCAGAAAAGCGAATGCATTACACAAACTCACACATGTACACAGAGAAGAGAAATTGATATTAATATTATTAATTACACATACATACAGTAAACACAACAGAGAAGAAGAGATAGTAGTCAGACACATACAGTAATCAGAGAAAAGATATTATTAATTATTTACACACACAGAAGAAGAGATATTACAGCTGCACACACACAGAGGCACATTTTCCAGCACAGGAAAGATGAATATGAAGCGTGCTGGAAAGGCAGGTGCCAAGTCTTCTGGCAGGGGAGGAAGAAGGGCTAGAGGGAGCAGGGGGTGAGCTGCAAGTCTCCCACCGCAAACATAGATGCATCCTCTTTCCTAGCAGTGATGAGTCTTCTGCTGCCAGTGGGAGCAAGGAGGTGGGAGCAGTACCTGTCCCTGCACCCCCTCCCTAACTCCAGAAATAGCCACCAGCACCAAAATGACAGTCTCCTCAACCCCAATTTCATCTCCTAGTGTGAGCCTCCTAGTGCCAGAGAAGGAGCTTGATCTAAAAGCAGGGGATCTGAGCGCCCTGGCAAAAGAAATTTTAAGGAACAAGGAGGAATCTGAATTTGTGCTCCACACCCCTCAAAGATCCCCTAGAGCAGAAGCAGGCAATTATTTCAGGCAGAGGGCCATTTACCCATTTTTGGCAGGCTGTTGAGGGCCGAATCGGTAACCCTGCCCCTTGACAGGTGCCCCGCCCCCGGGCCACCATCTTGGGACTAATATCCCAGGGCCAGCACCGGTGGGGCCCAAAGCGAGGCACAGGCTGGCAGGGGTCTGTGAAGCCAGGCTATGACGCACCAGCAGGGAGAGCGGGGAGCTGGCCTGGCTCCACAGAGCTCCTGCAGGCTAGGACCAGGCGCTCCTGCCACCTTGCTCTGGGTCCTGCCAGCACTGGCGCTGGGACACCGGTGCAGGCCCTGTGCTCCCGCTGGCTCCTCATCCACTCACTCCCAGTGCCCCCCAGCTCCGTGGTACAGGCAGGGGGCAGCGACCCCCTGCTTGCCCACAGGAAAGAAGCTGGTGCTGAGCACGGTGGGGGAAAAGCAGCCCCTCGCCCACCCCATGGCCGGTGCTCCCTGCTGCAGCCACTTGCAGCCCATGTGGGGCTGTCTGGAGCAGGCAAAGGCAGTACCACGCAGGCTGCAAGCAGCTACAGTGTGGGGCACCGGCCACGGGGCAGGCAAGGGGCCGCTTTTCCCCACACTCAGCACCAGCTTGTAACCTGCCCCCCACTGCCAGCTGTGGGCTCACTCACTGGGGCTGCCTGCGGTGGTAGCAGCTGTGGCCCCCCCACTTGCCGCGCTGGGAAGTGTTCTATCCAGGAAGAATGCATACACACATCAACTAGATGCTTCCACAGGTGGTGGCGGCAAATACTGCCCAGTGTGGCAAGCGGGGGGTGGGAGGGGGGGTGGCCCGCAGGTCCTGTCCCATGCGCAGCCCTGATGGGCGATGCCAGAGCCAGCGCAGGGCCCAGGCTGGCAGTGGGGCCAGGTTACAAGCTGGTGCTGAGCACAGGGGGGAAAAGCGGCCCCTCACCTGCCCTGTGACCAGAGCCCTGCACTGCAGCTGCTCGCAGCCCACCTGAGGCTGCCTGTGACTGCTCCGGACAGCCCTGAGTGGGCTGCAAGCGGCTGCAGCAGGGAGCACTGGCCACGGGGTGGGCGAGAGGCCGCTTTCCTCTGCGCCAGGAAAGAGCAGGGAAGGAGCCTGGGGAAAAGCTGAGTGGAGAGGGGGAAGAGCAGCCCCTCCCCCGCCCAGTGGCTGGGGGGTGTGGGGCTGTCCAGAGCAGGCACAGGCAGCCCCACACGGGCTGTGAGCGGCTGCAGCACAGGGCGCCAGACAGGGCAGGCAAGGGGCCACTTCCCCCCCCATGCTCAGCTTTTCCCCAGGCCACTTTTCCCCAGGCTCCTTTCCTGCCTGGGGTCCTCTCCTGAATCCCCCCGCCGCCCCACCTTACCTGAGGTTCCGGCATGGGGCAGCCACGTGGTCCCAGGCCAGAAGCCCCGACTGGGGCTGCCAGCTGGGGGTCAGGCCCTGCTGTTGTGGGAGCCCGCCAGACTTCCCCTGGGTCCTACTGGCTCCAGTCATTTTTGACAGGAACCAAGGGCAAATGAATATTAATTTTCTATCCTGAATCCCCCCGCCGCCCCACCTTACCTGAGGTTCCGGCATGGGGCAGCCACGTGGTCCCAGGCCAGAAGCCCCGACTGGGGCTGCCAGCTGGGGGTCAGGCCCTGCTGTTGTGGGAGCCCGCCAGACTTCCCCTGGGTCCTACTGGCTCCAGTCATTTTTGACAGGAACCAAGGGCAAATGAATATTAATTTTCTAAATTCTTTAGGGGGCCCGCAGGCCGTATTTTGCCCGCCCCTGCCCTAGAGCCAGGTCTCTTTCTCTGGAAAGCACCTTGGAGGAGGTGGAGGTTGTGGAGGCAAGTGAACATTGAACTTCACTTCATCTACCTCCTAAGTACAGAAACTCACGGTCTCAATATAGACATTGGATTTATGACACACTACAACCTGCCTGACATTTGACTCCCCAGGTAGCAGCAGATACCTGTCCACTTTTACCTGCTACCTCCCCCTTCCCCCAAATCCCAGCCTGTTTCTCAACCACTGACACTTCCATTTCCACTGACTGGCTTTCTTGTCTGCATTGCATGCCAGCCTCTGGCTTCTTTACTATTCCTTCCATCCAGGAGGAACACCAAC